AAAATTGCAATATGCATCTCATTAGGTATTTGTATAAATGTATAAATGTATACTACAACATTTCTGCAATCGACTGTAAGTACTGTTTAATGAACGAGCAATATTCTCTACTTTCCCATCCCCATAATGCCTTGCGTCTTTGGGGGGTAACCAATCGAAAAACTGCCCCAAATTCTTAATTGAATTTATGCTATACCTGCTTTTATCTGTACAATACTGATTATCAGTTTACTCCAAGTTATTTTTGCGTGTACAGATCATCGAGAGTTTTGGTCTTACAGAAAATGTATTGACTTACGAAAAAATGTTTAAAATTTACCCCAAACGTCTTCAAGCTTCTATCTTTTTCTGTTTTTTACTTCTTCATTTCATTTTTGGATACCAAACAAGGTATTGTCAACATTGTCTGATCAGCCTTCAGCAAAATAAGTGGGTTTTTACCCTCTGGTTAACCTCCAAAGACGCAAAGTATTATGGGGATGTGAAAGTAGAGAATACTAAAAGCTGCTTTCCGTGAATCCAGTGCGTTTTAGAATATTATTGATCTTGCGTTGAAATATCCGTAGAGACTCTGTGTTCCTTATAACACTTGGTAGACTGTTCCATAAAGTGGCGCCACTGTAGCTAAAGCTATTTCGGTAATAATTAGTGCGTGGCAAAGGCACAGTTTATTTACAGAGTCCCAGAGGTTGTAAGCAGAGTCACGCCTAGAGAATTTTGAGTTTAGATATTCAGGAGCTAGCCCGTGTAAACATTTAAAAACCATTGTGGTTTTATGAATTTGTTGCTAGCGGTCAAGATTTTTCCACCTTAGAATCTCAAATAGTTCAGTTGCATCAGCCATCATAATTGGAAAATCAGGTCAAAACACGGGCTGCTCTATTTTGCAATTTCTGCAGTTTGTCTCGTAACGTTACCCCAAAGCTACCCCAAACAAAATCACAATAGTCAAAGTGAGGTTTAACTAAAGCTTGGCATAAAAGATGTAAAGTTGGTTCTGGGATCAGGTGCCTAACTCGCTTTATGGCCCCGATACCAGAGGCGATCTTCTTCGTCAATTTTTCGATGTGACTATGCTAATCTAGTTTAATGTCAATTATGACACCAAGTAGTCGTAGTCGTAGTCACTTGCTAAGTCCTCATTCAGACAAAACTGCTGCAAAAAATGATAGTATTGATAGCGTAATTTTGGATGAGATTATACAAACACTCCCTTTAATTTAGAAATATTAAGAAATTAACAAACAACAAATTCATTTCTATCCTTAAACTTGTATCTGATGTCATCAGCTTAATCACGTGACTCAGAACTTATAAAATATGATTAAAAAATTGCAGAATTAACATTTTTTTTCACAGTTTGTAGCCGTGACATTAAGAGGCAATGCCAGTAAAAATCAAATATAATCAAAAATCCGTAGCCAAGTTGAAAAAATCGATTTTGTTCATATTTGGTCCAAAGATGAGCTGAGGAATACCACCCAAATGAATGTACTGATGTTCATTTTGAATAATTTTAGTTTTAATTTTGAGAAAAACGTGAAAATCGATTTTGGCCGTCGGCGCGGCTCAATTCAGCCTAAATCCGAGGT